TATATATATAAAACGTCATGACTAATCTGCACAAAGGCGAAACTGCAGTTTCGAGTACAGATGAGATTGCCTACTCACTAAACACCTCTCACTAAGCGTTAGTATGAAGTAAGTAAAGAGGGCCTAAGATTAAGACTTAAAGAAAAAAAAGATGAAAGATGAAAAAATTATGAAAATAAAAAATGTAGAAAAATAAACTATGGCAGCTGTGACCCACTTAAGAAAAAAAAAGAATCTCAAAACTTAGCACCTTGGTGAAGATCCTAAAATCTGCTGCAAGGATGGAAAGTGTGTTCAGAGGAGAAAGGAACTAAGTATTATAGAAGCCAAGGAAGCAAAATGATGTCCTCAGGACTCACTTCTGTCTGAACGCTATGGATGAGTACCAGTGGAAAGGGGAAGGAAAAAATCAGACAAAGTCAAAGTCTGAATTTGTAAAACTGACAAAAACAGATTATGTTCTCTATGTAGGCACATACTTATAAAATGAATCCAATCCTGAAAAGCCACTTTCTAATGCTGCTCTATGGCAGCACTGTAATGCTTTAAAAATTCAAGAGATTCTATTCTATTCTAATAGCTATATATTAAGTAGATTATTCAACTGTTCTCAGAGGTTCTATATTAGTTATTGCCAAGAAGTACAGTTACTATACTAACTTGACACTCACTGAACTAAAAAGAGCTATCCATATATCACAGCTAAAAGCAGTTCTCAAGTCATGATCACAGCTATTCTTTCAAGGAAAAGTTTTGGTCCCACTTACTTGATGAAGTCATTTTTAGCCTACAAATGCCTTTAATTTAGGCCAGTGATGGCGAACCGGGTGCCACAGACGGCTGTTCGTATCACTAATCTAAGGGAGTGTCTGTGAGCTCCATGGATTACAGGCAAATTTTATACCTATGTACACTTTTCTACGGAGAAGATGTTCATATTTTCAAAAGGTATCCACGCTAAAAAAAATTGAGACTCACACCGAAATTCACACATGGCTACGATGACCTAGTTAATGCTGTTTAGACTTTTTCTGATAATTTATTCTTAGAACCTCAGAACTAGCTTAGTACAGTTGACATTCACTGAGCAATAAATACCCCACAGGCATTTCAGACACCGATTCTCATCACACTCTCTCCATCACGTTACTAGTATTTCCAACCTCGCCCGTTCCACTCTCTCCACTCTCCTCCGTAACGAAATGCAGGTAGCCGAATACCACAAACTGGCTATTCCTATCTGAATAATCAAGACTACCTGTAATTATCTGTAATCAAAGTGAACGGCTAGACTTTGGCCCAGGCAGCTAATTACCTGCGCAAACGACTTCGGGATTACAAAGTACAAGTAGTATCCAAGTCCTCTGGCTCAGTGCTCTTTACCTCGCTGATTCTAAGGACGGGAAAAAGGCACGAATCCCTCCTCACAGAACTGGAAGAAGCCTGACTACTAAGCTGACCATGAGTGGCCAGAAAAAAACACCGGTGCTAAGGTGATGCAGCTCTCATCAGGTGGGTCTGTACCTGAAGATGGTTTCAGACACCCCGAACCACGCCTGCAGTGACCGCCGCTGTGCCCGCCTGCCTGTGACCTCCCCGCGCAGGGGCGAGGAGGGCGAGAAGCAGAGCGCAGCGGCTTCGCACTGGGACAGGACCACAGCAGCGGGTCCACCAGGGCCACTTTTGTTTTTAAAAAGCATCCCTCTCTCTCCATTCCTCACGCCTAGTTTTTCCTTTCTTTCCCTGCTATCTCCAGCAACGATGAAATCTCCAATTTTTCTAGCCCAGCATCACACTCGGATTACGCAGGTCGCGAGTATCCACGGTAACCCAAAGTTGGGGCGCCAAGGCGGGGTCCCGGGAGTCCCGCGGAGAGGAGGGAGCCGCTCCCGAGCCTCAGTTTCCCCCCACCCAGTGTGACACGCAGCTCGGGCCGGCTCTGAAGGTCGTGCCGGTCTCCGGGCCGTCCGGGTCGCGAAACCGGACCGATCCCCGCCGCCGCCGCCGCCGGGCCTCACCTCGCGCGGAACCCGAAGCTGCATCCAACCCCGCCGGCCCGGACCCGCGCACCGCACCTCGCGCCGCCATCTTCACCTGGCCGGTTAGCAGGGAACACGCAGCGAGGGCACGGGTACCAGGGCCACTGCGGGCGCCGCCGACGTCGAGGAGTTCATGACCCAGTCTCCGTTCCGCGCAGTTCGACCCGCCGGGGCCGCCTAAGTCCCCGCCCTCCGGACGGTGCGCCGCCGCCACGTCCGCAAACCTGCGCTGCG